GCGTCGGTGGGCTCATGCCTGTAATCTCACTACTCAGGAGGCTGAGGCAGGAAAATCGCTTGAACCCAGTGACTGGGGCCTTTGGAGGCAGAGGTTTGCAGGACCCGAGACTGCACCATTGCACTCCAGCCTGGGCAATAGAGTGAGACTGTGTCTCACACACACACACACACACACACACACAGACACACAGACAGACATAAATACGACTAATCCCATTAATGAGAGCTTCACCTCATTACCTGGTCACTTCCCAAACGCCCCCGCCTCCTAATAGCATCACATAGCAAAGAGCAGCCTTTGAACACCGTGAGCTTTGAGGGGGACAGACATTCAGACCAGAGCAGGCAGGAAGGCATATTTTATTATAAAGCAGGGTCTTGTTAATAAACTGCTTTCCTCTTTATTGTTGTTTCTCCCATAAAGTGAATAAACAGAAGCTAGTGGAAAATACCAACATTAAATTTTGATATTAGCCAGGCGCCGTGACTCATGCCTATAATTCCCAGCACTTTGGGAGGCTGAGGCGGCGGATCACAAGGTCAGGAGATTGAGACCATCCTGGCCAACATGGTGAACCCTATCTCTACTAAAAAACAAAAATTAGCTGGGTGTGGTGGCGGGTGCCTGTAAGTCACCAGCTACTCCGGAGGCTGAGGCAGGAGAATCGCTTGAGAATCCGGAGGCGGAGGTTGCAGCTGAGCCGAGATTTAGCCACTGCACTTCAGCCTGCAACAGCAACAGAGTGAGACTCCGTCTCAAAACAAAACAAACAAAACAAAACAAAAACCACTTTAATATCTTCCCTCTCAGTTGCTGAGAGCTAAGTTGGTGACCCTTTTCCCAATTAGAAAAACTAAACAGGAAAATGGTGCATGATTTTCATTGCTGCTGTTCATATCAGCAGAGGCCCTTATCAGTAATTATGTGGTGTGTAAAGAAAGGTTGATTATGGAATTATTAATCTTTTCTTAAACATACTGTCTTTTTCCAAAAATGTGGCTGCTATGAACTGAATATTTCTGTTCCCTCCCACTTCAAGTTCAAATGTTACAATCCTAATCTCAAGGGTGACGGTATTAGGAGACAGGGCCTTTGGAAGGTAATTAGATCATGAGGTGAAGCCCTTATGAGCAGGAGCCTTTATCAGATAAGCCCAGGGAGCTTATTTCCTTCTTCCATTATCTGAGGACACAACAAGAATGCACCATTGGATAAACCAAGGAAAGGCCTCAACTAGACAAACAATCTATAAGTGTCTAGATCTTGGACTTCCCAGGCCCTGTAAGAAATAAATTTCTGTTGTTTATAAGCCATTTAGTCTATGGTTTTCTGTTATAGCACCCAAACAGACTAAGCGAATGACCATAGTGATGAATGTATCTCCCATCACCGCCATCCCCTTTCTAAAACGGAGCCACATTAGGTACAAATCAAGATATTGCTATACTGTAATTTATTACTAAAATATATGTTCCAATTTTTTATTTTTACTTATTATTTTATCTTGAGATGTACAAAATTCATTAAATAACAATGGCCACATAATTTTTTAATAGAACATATAAAATAAGACATGAAATGAAAACCACCAGTTTTGTATTCTGATCAAATACTTCAATTTTTTTTTTTTTTTGGAGACATTTTGCTCTTGTCACCCAGGCTGGAGTATAGTAGGTGCGATCTCGGCTCATGCAACCTCCACCTCCTGGGTTCAAGTTGATGTCTTCTGCTCCAGCATTTTCCCTGGGAGTAGCTGGGATTACAGCTGCCCACCACACCCGACTTATTTTCTTACTTTCTGCTTCAGCATCCTGAGTAGCTGGGATTACAGCTGCCCACCACCACACCCGACTTATTTTTGTACTTTTAGTAGAGAGGGAGTTTTGCCATGTTGGGCAGGCTGGTTTCGAACTCCTGACCTCAGGTGATCTGCCTACCTCAGCCTCCCAAAGTGCTGGGCTTACAGGCGTGAGCCACTGTCCCCGGCCTCAGATTTCTTATCTCTCTAGAGTACTTGTAATTAACAGCAACAATGTTGACTTATGAGATTTCTAAAACCTAAGTATGTGCTTTACGTAATCGTATGATATGTGGAATCAGAATAGATCAGATTTTTTCTTGGATTAGGGTTGGAAGAAATCAGGAAAGGATAGGAAGACGTCAACAGCTGGAAACAGGGAACAAATAGACTTTTATCTTCAGATGTATAATTTTCACCTTTTTCTCCATTATTATGTAAGGTAGGGGACACACTCAATCTTGAGTTTCATGAATCACACCCTCAAAAACTGCATTTTGTTTGATTCAATCATATCCTCTACATTTCTAGATATTTATAAATGTGACATTAATTTCAGCCATTGAACAAGAATGCACTCACATTATTATCTTTCAGAGCAGCTTACTAAGATTTGTTGTAACATGTTTATAATCAGTTGGGAACCTAGATGTTGCTTCATTGCTAAGCCTTGATGGAACATTTATGGATATGTTTTATGATTTGCTGATCTGTGCTGTGAAACCATCAGTCTGTTTGCAGTGGGGAGGAAGGATTTGGGAGGGGTAGGAGGGTGGAGGGAGGGAGGATAGTTTTGTCTGACGTGTCAGTGGAGGGAGGGAGCGGGGAAGGCAGGTTGGTCATGAAGTTTGAACTAAGATGGACTAAAAGGGTTCAGTTTTGACCCTTGCACACAAATCAGCTACAGTAAATAGTTGCTACTACCAAGCAGGTTTTCAGTGATCATACTTGATTTTCTTTCTTTTTTCTTGTTTTATATATTTTCTCAGGGGAAATCTCTCACGTCCAAGAGGTTAACAAGCCTTGTTCAGTCTTACTAAACGGATCATCTTGTAGCATGAATGCAGACTGGAGTCACTGCACATACTTTGTAGCTCGCTGTTGTGATCTGGAGCAGAGGACATTAGAACAAGATGTTGCATGAGCAAAGGACCTAAATTGTTATTTGTGTGTGTACATTCCATCTCCAGTGGACTCTTCCATCTCAATGCCTCCATTCCAAACTGTTGTCTGCTTTCTTTCTCCCTCTACTTACGCTGGATCTGTGTCTTTTCCTTTTTAACAAGTTCAAGTGAAGTAAAACCTTTTCTTTTTTTCCTTCTCTCTCTCTCTCTCTCTCTCAAAGCTTCAGCTAGACACACAGTTCACTGAAAATTCAGTCAGTCAAAAACTGGAAGAACTGTAAAAGAAAAAAGTATATATCAATAAGTATACATACGGCTTCACATTTATTAAACAGTAAATTCGCACAGAAAGTTTCATTTCACCAATGTATCCACAGTTGGAAAGAAACTCCTGTCTTTGTCTGTTGTCTGTACATTCTCCGTTAATGTTTCTTGCATTTATTTTTATACCATATTTAAAGAAGAAACACCTTTTACTCCAAATGTATTAAAGTTGTTCCCTTCTCTGTAAATTTGTGTATGTTTATATTGTTGTTTTATCTTTCATTAAAAGATGCAGAATCTCATTGCTTTTGTAACTTTTGACTTCTAAAACTTTTGCTAACTAAAAAAGAAAATGCTGAGAAATCCACAAACCCACAACTGCAGAGTTAAATTTAGGTTGTCACCTTGAAATTTATTTCAGGGTTTCAAGACACGCTTGGATAGTACAGAAGCCAAGGGCAGATGGAAGTTTTTTTTGGAGGCTCACCTGGGACTTGGTAGATTCTTTTTCTCCCATGGAAGAACAACACAAATTGACTTTCCACATTTTCAAAGCTATTTAAAAGGCCTTTCTGCCTCATGATGAATATGTATCTGTGCATTTTGCAAACTAATATTTCTGTTCGAATTAGGCTTAAGTGTGACTTATTAAATCAGGTACCGATTTGTTCTTTAAAACACAATTCTAAAAATATCATAGGTCAGTGCCTCTTAACTTTTTGGAGGTTACAGATTATTTTGAGAATACATTCACCTCTTGGCATCCCTGGGAAATTGGTTCCTGGACCTCCTCAGACACCAAAATCCACAGATGCTCAAGTCACTAATATAAAATGGTGTGGTGTTTGCATATAACCTATGTAAATCCTCCCACATACTAAATAATCTCTAGATTATTATAATATCTAATACAATGTAATGCTGTATAGTTGTTACACTGTATTTTTAATTAATATAACTTTAATTGTTGAATTATTATTTTTATTTTTGACTTTTTTCAAATATTTTCCATCCAAGGTTGCTTAAATCTAAAGCTATGGAACCTGTGGATATGGAGGGCTGACTGTGTGATGTAATTAGTAAAATTTAGTGATGCTTACTAAGTGCCTGCCACTTCATTAAGAGTTTTCCATGCCATCAGAATTCTCGCATTTAATCATCGCAGCAGTCCTGTAAGACCATCTCTGCAATTTTGAGAACGCTGAAGCAGAGAGAGGTTAAGTAACTTGTTTGAAGTCACCGAGCTAAGTAGTGGATTGGGATCATACGGAAGGAAAAAAATCTTGGCTTCTACCCTTTTAGGAGCTTAGCTGTGGTTCTGTAACAAAAGACAGATTAACAACAGAAAAGCATACAAATTTACGTAATAGAAGTATTACAGGCCAGGTGCGGCGGCTCACGCCTGTAATCCCAGGACTTTGGGAGGCCGAGGCAGGTGGATCATCTGAGGTCGGGAGTTCAAGGCCAGCCTGGCCAACATGGTGAAACCCCGTCTCTACTAAAAATCCAAAGATTAGCTGGGCATGATTAGCAGGCACCTGTAATCCCAGCTACTTCGGAGGCGGAGGCATGAGAATCGCTTGAACCCAGGAGGCGGAGATTGCAGTGAGCTGAGATTGTGCCATTGCATTCCAGCCTGCGCTACAAGAGTGAAACTCGGTCTCAAAAAAAAAAAAAAAAAGTATTATGTGACATGGGAGGCTTCATTAAGAAATGAATACCTTAAAAAAATGATTAAACCTGAGTGTTTCTTTATACTAGGTTTGATGAAGAGTCGTGGGAAAATGTGACAGGGCAGAGAGAGAGGCCGTAAGGGCAGTAAACCGGGAGAAACTGAGCAAGTCCTGTTCATTCAGATTCTCTTCAGCACCCCTCCATCTTCAGGGAGAAGAATGCTCCATTTCTCTGGATATAAAGACAGCATCTCTCACAGGAGGGTCTTATGACCTGCTTCAAGGGAAGGTCAGAGAGTCCCTCCTGAACCTGCCATTTCTCAAATTTCTTCAGCTTAAAATATTCAATATTTTGGAATAGAACTCACAAACCCCATCATCATATAAACGCAGGCAGTCTGACTGCAGGGCACACTATACTGCCCACCTATCCATTATACCACAAATTTCTTTTGATAAAAATTATGTGAAAGTTCACAGAAACTCACAGTTGTACTGTATTTTAGGACATTCACAGACTAATCTCTGTAGCTCATCCATGGACCCCAAGTAAACAACGTGACTCACTTTAAGGGCTGGATCAGTGGCAAAAAAAGGTTACCCAGTCAGGAGATGGGCCTGACTTGCCTGCTTTTGCATAAACCAAGGCATTGCAGACTCTGGTTATTTAAAAAAGAAACCAAGTTATTAATGCCTGTTACTTACTATAGATAAATTTAAATTCTGAAAAAATTTACTATCATTCATGATAAATCAGCAGTGGAGTCTGTTGGTTATTTAATAAAACTCACATAATGGAAGAGACTTGATAGGAGAAATTTATATATAAGCTATAATCTAAACACTGTAAACAGTATAGGAGATATTTAATTATATGCTCATGTTTAAAAAGAAGAAGAATCCATAAAATGCAAGTAAATTAAATTGATAGACCGTATCCCTTAAAATCACTCAATTCAGGACAGTCTTGGACAGACAGCACTGAAGTTAGATTAAAACTCTAGTTACTAGAAACATTCTTTTAAGGGAAACAATAATCCTATAAGAAGAGTACGGTGTTTAAACAATAAGCCTTGCATAAATACAATTGGTTGTTTCAATGGTTATCTTTCACAAGTCATCAGTCCTTAGAAGTCCATCCTTCCTGTTAATTCCAAATCATGGAAAAATTTGCCCTTCTTGGCATTTTTAATCATAGAAAAAAAAAAAACAGCAGAAAAGAGAAACCCTCAGGCAAGTATCCCCAAGTCAAGAATTCCTAATTTAAAAAGTTACTCAAGTTACTCAAGTCTAATGACTCCATTTAATGTGGCCTAGACAAGACTCAGATACAAAGCAAGAGTACTTCAGGAGAAGCACAGAAAAGTGCTGGAATTCCTTGCAGTTCGCTCCAGTGAGCCCTTGGCATCTGCCTCCCACCCCATGCTAAAACCATTTGATCTATAAGGCATAGAATAAAAATCCCTCGTTTCTATTTAATAAAATTGTTTTTAAGTTTTAAATTTTTTAACTTTGAGACCATCAAAAAAGTTATCCTCCAATAAACCAGAGTTTCTACACTCACACTGCAGAGCTATTTTCATCCTCTAAATTGCGTTGACCCAATTCTCCTCTGAGCGATGTTACAATAATGTGTTCCGTGGATCTGCACAGGATTTTCTGCTTGAATCAAAATAACAGAAATATGGCCAGCAACCTTATCTAAGCTGTGTCCGAAAATAAACGAAGGCAGAAACCCTCCCTCTTGGTAATGAGCAGTGTGAGACTTGATCTTGCTACTCAGGACTCACAGCTGTGCCCTTAGTTCTCCTGGTTGGCTGCTCACTTCTCTTTACATGATGGTTTATGAATAATTCTGGTCTACTGAGAGAGGCAAGTCTTGGCTGCTAGCACGAATTTAGTCTAGTTGCATGCACGGATTGTCTCCACACAGAAGATTCTGTGTCCTTAAATACACATTTGAAAGAGCACGTTGAATATTTAGTTGTTTTACTGTGGTCTGTGACTACCTCTTTGCACATTTTAGTAACCCTCTAAAACGTCAGCAGGAAACAGCCAAAGCTACCAATCCATCCCCTAAGCCATTTTAAGAAATAGTGCATAATAATGAAGAATTTAAAGAACATAAAGAATAGAGAGGAACTATATTCATGTATTACACACACACACACAAATAGGTATCTTATACATTTTATTGTACAACCATACATGTGTACTTTCTGTTGAAAATGTTGTGCTCTAGCACTCATTTTTTAAAAGACATCAAATGATGTATCAAACATAAGATGCTTCCATTTAAAAATCAGATTAGAAGAAAAACTTGCCGATGCCCTTAGATATTTTGAGGAGTTTTTGGAGCTGAAATGTGTAATGTGTTTACCACTTCATTTTCAAAAAGGTCATTAGAGGCTGGGTAGACATGAATACTTCTTGATTTAAAAATTGATTAACAGGCATTGAGGGAAGGAGGCGGCAGCATCCCGGGCGGGTAGGATGATGCACCAGAGACGGCGATGGCAGCAGTAAGCCCTCCCGGCCGCTCAGAGCGCTGTAGAGCAGCGTCCTCAGCCCGGCCTCTGACCACGGCGCCCCTCCTCGAGGCTTCTCGTTCGCCCGCCCCTCGCCAGTGCGCCGGCCAGCCTGGCTCCCCTCCCGGGCCCGGGTGGCTGACCTGCCTGCTCTCCCCGGCCCGGTGGCCGTCCTGGCTGCCCTCCCCGGCCCCGATGGCCGGCGTGCCTGCTCTCCTTGGCCCCGACGGAGGGAAGGGCTGGGCAGGCAGGCTGGCGGGCGGGCTGGCGACGATGCAGAACTTCTGCGTGCCGCCGAACTGCACGCGGAAGAGCACGCAGTCAGACCTGGCCTTCTTCAGGTTGCCGAGGGACCCGACCAGGTGCCAGAAGTGGGTGAATTGTAGGAGACCAGACTTAGAAGATAAAACACCTGATCAGCTAAATAAACATGACCGGTGAGGGGTCCAACATTTTGAGACGTCTAGGGTCGGTAGAACTAGTCCTTATGGGACAGTTCTATGAGATAATGCAATACCAACAATATTTGCTCTTACCAGTCATTTGAACAACCTACCTAGAAAATGAATAAAAGAATTGTTGATGAACCTTCTGAACAGGAACAAAAACATAAAGAAATCAACAACAGCCATGCTCAGAACCCCAGTAAAGAAGGGGGTGAAGGGCCAGATGAGGACATTTTACCTCTAACCCTTGAAGAGAAGGAAAACAAAGGATACCTAAAATCTCTGTTTGAAATCTTGATTCTGATGGAAAAGCAAAACATACCTCTGGATGGACATGAGGCCGATGAAATCCCGGAAGGTCTCTTTACTCCAGATAACGTTCACGCAGTGCTGGAGTGCTGGATAAATTGTGGTCAAGGGGTCCTGAGAAAGCGCTTTGAGACAAGAGCAGTTAACACGTTGTTTTGTTTAAAAAACACAGCAGAGGCAGATGTAGAGATCTGTGAGAGCTGTATTCGGGAATAAACTCTAAGGGAAGTGAGAGACTCACATTTCTTTTCCATTATCACTGATGATGTAATGGACATGGTAGGGGAAGGGC